AATTAAATATGTTGTTGGTTGCTCTAAATATACAATATTTTATTTTTAATCTTCTAAAAAGATCATTTGAAAATTGATCCCTTAAAGTTTTCTTCATATCCTTAAATTAATTTCTACTAACCTAAGCTAACGTGGAGAGACATTTATCATTTTTGCTCATTTGAATTGGGAAGTGATTAGGATGCCAACGTGCTTTAATCAATTTTCTAGCACGGATAAGGAATTGTTATATGATTATAGAAAACCTTGTCCATCTTCCTCATTAGCCTTCACTCGCAACCGCAATTGAGAAATCCCTAATTTAAAATCTTCTTCTTCAACGTCTAAAAAATTCCTAATTAAAAATCTCATATGTTCGTTTCTTCTTTGTCTACCTCTAGAAAATCAACCATGTCAACTTTATCAAAAACTAGACACACGAAATAATCAACAATGTGTACACTTTATGTTAAAATTCATCTCAATATACTATTTGGTTTATGTATTCCTATGGCGTCTTATCACTACAAGAACGAATCTAAATAAAAGAGGAACATTTTTTTAGGTCCCTTTTAATAAGTATGTCATTTTTGAAATTCCGCGAGATATTTAAGAGATGTATATGGTGCGTTAAAAACTCTTAAAATAAATTGATTTGAAGTTCTCAATTGAGGTTTTTAATAGATTCAATTTAGCTTTCAAATTCTGATTTTGTTCAAATTAATTTAAGTTCGTTCAATTTTTTTTGTTTTATATGCTTATTTAAATATAATAATTTATATCGTTAATAGAACAAATAAAAATCTTAAACTTCCACAATGTCATTTAAATTGCCCTATTATTAATTAAACTTCGTGATCATTGAAATTGACATCCATAATTGGGTGGGACTAAACCTGAAGCATACCCAAGAGAGATTGCTTCTTCATAGTGAACCTCTCCATGACCTTACGGTGTTCTTCGTCTTGCCATTTTGGAAACTGGTTATTACAACTTCTCCCAAGAATTCGAGAACATTGATTACCATGAAGGCATGAATCAACCATGAACCCACATAATTATTGGAGCAGATTTAACTTGAAATCCACCCACTTGAACCATACACCCTTCATTTCATATAAAAAGACGACACTGTCTTTATAAAATCATTTCACTTCTTTTTCAAATTTACCATATACAAACACGGATTTGAAAAATATGGGACAATATCAAAAATTTGAAGAAGATTACAGTAAATTTAAAAAAACGGTATGTTTTTATACCAAAAATTGCAGAATGTCAGAAATTTTGTACGGGAATTTTTGGTGTTTATTCTAACATTTTTGTTGGAATTTTTAAAATTTCCAGTATAAAATCCCATAAAATTTATTGGAAATTTCAGAATTTTCAATAGTTATAATAACTTGGTTTTTAATCGGGAATTTTGAAATTTCCGGTATTGATAAAAACATTGTTTTTTATTGAAAAATTCAAAAATTTTGGTAGTTATAAAAACGGTTTTTTACTGGAAATTCTGAAATTTTCGGTAGTTGTTAATTTTTATTTGATTTTTCCTTCTTTTGTAGTTAAATGAAAAGCAGAGACAACACTATTGCATGGAAAACTATTGATAGAGTGGCAGACCCGACTAGGACTGCTAGGGGTGTGAGGCCGAGACTTCTCAAATACAGCCTGAACAAGTGGTCCTAAACAGTTCACACCGGAAGCGGTTGGCTGAGTAGGGTCAGTTCCGCGCACCTCGTAACACTCGACGCTAACATGTACGATCAGTAGAGTAACCTAGAGATGAGGGGGCAGATGAGGTGGTGCAGCCAAATGTTGTTGTTGCTGATCTAATGGTTACTGATCTGATGGTTGCTGAGGAGGTTACAGATCCAGTGGTTGAGAAGGTTGTTGAGGAGGTGGTTGTTGATGAGATTGTTGCTCGGGTGGTCCAGCCAGATACTATTGTTGTTGATCCGGTTTCATCTGTTATTGTTGACACAAATGTTACAACTCCTTCGACCAAATCCTCTGTGCACACTGATGGAGGATTTCTTGAAAGACCCATTGATTGATCGGTGCTTATTGAGTATGTTGAGCATATGGCGTTATGACTATGGTAGGGAGAGGTATATGTCTTTTATGTTTAACTTTAATTTGTTTATCATTGTGCCATAAAAGATAACTGCTAATTTTTTTATATTTGTTTGTCATAGGAACATCCCACATTGATGGTGACATCGCACGGGTCGAATCTAAAGGACTTCCCGAAGATTCTGATGTCTGAGCAGGTCAGTCGAATTGTACGGGAGTTCGAACTCTTTGATTTTACCCAGTGCTCCCTCACCATACTCGACGCTCCACTACTTACTGTGTTTGTTGAGAGATGGCACAAGGAGACATCTTCATTCATCTTCCATTTAGGAAGATGACTATCACTCTGGATGATGTCTCCTCATTGTTCCATCTCCCCATCTGCAACAGCTTCTAGATAACTCTTGTTCTTAGCATGTCGCTTACATGCATGATTGCTACACGATATTTAGGAGTTTCTGAGGCGGCCATGCAGAAGGAGTTTGGCATCAACAAGGGCGTTCACCTTCGTATGTCTTGGCTTCAGAAGATGTATCACGAGCTTGTAGTGGCTGGAAGTTATGAGGCTTCCCCTAGGGTGTACATGCTACATCTAGTAGTATGTACTCTCTTTGCAGACAAGTATGATGTTTATATCGACACCTAATACGTGTGCATGTTCAGTAGTCTTGAGGTTACCAGTTGGGCTTCGGGGTGTGTTGCGTTGACCATTATGTATACAAGACTTGGAATAACGATAATGTTTGAGACCAAATAACTTGCTGGTTATTTCAATCTGTTACAAATATACTTGAAATTATTATTTGTTGTTGATTTTTTATTTTAATTATTATAAATAACATTTCTTATTTATTATTTGTTGTGTCTGTGTTTTGATATCAGTGCTGGATATACGATCATTTTCCCACCATCTGTGACATCAGGGTGCATCATTCCCCAGTGGGGTCCTTACGGCGAGGAGATGGAAGGGCAGACAGTCACAACTCGATAGTGTTGTTGAGTACAGGAGGAAGCTCGATGCGCTGACTGTAGATGATGTCATTTGGATACCATACACTAGTCATAGAGTCCACTATGAGTTCGAGGAGTCGTTATTATATTCCAATTATATCCGGTGGGAGACCACAGTTGCTAGACACTTTCCTGAGTGGTGTCTGCAATTGTATAATTATGTTCAGAGTATCCCACTACCAATTCCAGATATACCATCTGCAAGCACTTATTGATGGTTTCAGAGTAACTTCATCAGCTCTGGTCGAGCCATTAAAGATCGAGCAGTTACGGTTCATCATCCCTCACAGTGTGAGGATGATTACTTACAGTAGTACCTCATTGTTCACACCCTCGCATCATCCCACCTACAGTTGATGTTGGGCCTTTTGATGCTGGAGTACCTATTAATGACATGTCGCTGCCACCTCCTCCATCTGGTGGTGATGACTAACACGCCTCCTGATGATTGCAGTTACTATGGATAATCTCACCGGTTTGATAAACCAATATGGCAAGGTTTATACTGGATTATCTCGGATTGCACACATAGCCCGTCTGGACCTATTTAGACATCTTTTGTATATCATGGATTTGGTCTATTATGTATTTTTTGTATATTACTCATACATCTTTATCATAACTTTTTATTAGATAATATTTTTTGATATCCCATTGATGCAACATCAACATTAACTAACATTTGATAATTGATTACATAACTTAATTATAACTTTAAAAGCGATAATAAATTAGAAAATCTAGACACCACCCGACCATTTTGGACGTTTCATCATCTTAATTATGTCATTTGCGGGCCATAAAATCTTAGCATCTAACTTGATAGGCCCATTTGTTATCCTACGGCGAAATGATCTCCATATATTCTTCACATCTTCATCGGTCTTCAACTAAATAAGGTTGTATTTCACGCTCCTGCCAGTATCAATTCAATCTTCATGAAACTCGGTCTTTCTCACCTTTCTGTTTTCGGTATCAGGCGATAACTCATTCAACTTCGACGTCAGACTAGCGAGAGATGTGGTGCCATCCGGAAGTCGAAACTCGGAAGGTGAAGTTCCATTGAAGTACACTTTTGTCTTAATAAAAAATTGAGGAGGAAATTTTTTTTAGATGTTTTTATCAAACAACAGGTGACCTCTTATTTATATAACTTTCCATTTACTCTGGATCACACAAAACTGTCGGTGCAGTCACAGTCATCCAAAACTGTTGGCAAAATCGCGAGCCTTTAAAATTTCAAACAAAAAACACTATCGAAAACTTCACTCAAGTCGAAAATTTCGATATCAACCAGTAAATTTCAAATTTCAGAAATTTATTCAAACATATTAGAAATTTTGAAATTTTTAATATATCAAAAATTTTAGTCTATATCGAAAATTTTGGTTTGTCTATCAAAAATTTAAAACGGAAATTTCATTCAATTTTCAGACAGAGACAGTTTTTACTATTTTTATATAGGGATGCCAATATAATTGGGTTTGACAAGTTAAATCTTTAATTATTGATATTGATAGGTTGACATTAAAATTCTAGCACTAAACTACACTTTTCCAAGTTAAAGTTTCTATTAATTATTATTAGTTATTCTCTCCCTACCCCTCATATTAAAATAGACATTGATATTTGTAATACGTTTAATTTATTATTATTTCGAATTATTATCTGTGTTAATATGTTAGTGTTGTTGTTGTGTTTCCTATTATCATTTCATCTACTATTTAAAAACAGAAACAAATAGTGAAAACATTTATAATCTAAGGCTTGTTGGGGTTTCTGAAAATGAAATTATAAACAATTGTCTGTGTTCTGCATGTTGCCTTTTTTTTTGAAGAAATTATTAAGACTTTTCAAAGTTGTAACACAAACAAACTTGTTGTTACTCTTTCTTCTCAGAGTTGACTTTAAATCCTGTCATTCTAGGCTTAACAATGTCACCGCCATCTTCATCTTCCAACCCTCAATTGTTGCACGACGTATTCCTCAACTTCAGAGGGGAAGATACTCGTACCAACTTCATTTCTCATCTGGATGCAGCCCTCTCAAATGCAGGAATCAACACTTACATTGACCGTCAGCTTTCCAAGGGAACCGAATTGGGATCAGAACTGTCGAGGGCAATACGAATGTCTCATATATCTATCGTTGTGTTCTCGAAAAGATATGCAGAATCCAGTTGGTGTCTTTACGAACTCAAAGAGATAATGAGTTGCCACAGAACTAATGGTCAGTTGGTTGTCCCTATATTTTTTGATATTGATCCTTCTGTTGTGCGCCACCAGGAAGGTGATTTTGGAAATAGTTTGAGAGCTACTGCGAAGAAAATATACCTTGACTTTGCAGAGGAAAGGATGGAATATGTGCTCTCTAGTTGGAGGAATGTGCTCACTCAAGCTGCTAATTTGTCTGGTTGGCATATCCCCAAATGCAGGTAGTTAATGTGACACTTTCTATTTCTTTCATAATATATTGATCCATTTTTACCTTGTTGTCTTTCACAATTTACGCTAACTTTTTGTTTTTTACAATTATTACTATCGAAGGAGTGAAAGTGAACTAGTGCAGCAGATTGTTGAGGATGTTTTGGAAAAACTAGGCAGCGGAGTTTTGTCTATAACTGAATTTCCAGTTGGATTAGAATCCCATGTGCGAAGTGCGACAGACTTTATTGAAAATAGACTAAAGAAGGTTTGTATGATAGGGATTTGGGGAATGGGTGGATCTGGTAAAACTACCTCAGCCAAAGCCATCTACAATCAAATTCACCGCAAATTTGTGGATAGAAGTTTCATTGAAAATGTTAGAGAAGTTTGTGAAAAGGAAAGTAGAGGGATTATTCATTTACAACAACAACTTCTTTCAGATATCATGAACACAAAGGAGAAGATACGTAGCACAGCGTTGGGGACAAGTACGATCAGGAAAAGACTTCAGGGCAAAAAAGTACTTGTTGTTCTTGATGACGTGACCACATCTGAACAGCTAAAAGCGCTATGTGCAGATTCTAAATTGTTTGGTCCGGGAAGTGTATTAATTGTTACAACCAGAGATGCTCGCCTGCTTAAAGGCGTTAATTATGTTTGTACTCTGAAAGAAATGGATGAAAAAGAGTCCCTTGAGCTTTTTAGTTGGCACGCTTTTAGACAGCCTAGTCCAATCAAAGACTTCTGCAAACTCTCGCGCAACGTAGTTGCTTATTGTGGAGGATTACCACTGGCTCTTGAAGTCATTGGTTCTTACTTAAGTCAGAGGACAAAACAAGAATGGAAATGTGTACTGTCGAAATTAGAGAGAATTCCCAATGATCAAGTGCAAGAGAAACTGAGAGTGAGCTATGATGGTTTAAAGGATGATATGGAAAAGGATATATTTCTTGACATATGTTGTTTCTTTATCGGCAAGGACAGATCCTATGTTACCAAGATACTAAATGGCTGTGGGCTTTATGCTGACATTGGAATAACTGTCCTGGTAGAGCGGAGCCTCGTAAAAATTGAAAAGGATAACAAGCTTGGAATGCATGATTTAATAAGAGACATGGGAAGAGAAATTGTTCGTAAAAGTTCAGCAAAAGACCCTGGGAAGCGTAGTCGGTTATGGTTTCACCAGGATGTACATGATATTTTGACCAAAAATTCTGTAAGTACTTTAATCAGCTTCCATTATATTATACATATCACAAGACTAGTTGGTTCTGAATTGTTTTACTCTACATAAACGTCGACCGTAAATTGTAGGATTCTTTTTCCTTGTCATTAATTCCTTACAAACATACTTAGGCTGCACTGTTGTAGCTTTATATATCACTTTTCATCTAGAAAACAAAACAAAAAATGTTTCCTCTGACTTTTCTCTGGCTTTTTCTTCACATATAGGGAACGGAAACTGTTGAGGGGTTGGTTTTGAAGTTGCAAGGAACCAACAGAGTTTGCTTCAGCGCTAATTCTTTCAAGGAGATGAAGAATCTGAGACTTCTACAACTTGATAGTGTTGACCTCGCTGGAGATTATGAGTGTCTTTCTAAAGAACTTAGATGGATCTGTTGGCAAGAATTCACCTTCAACCGTATACCAGATGAATTTTATTTGGGAAATGTTGTTGTTATCGAGTTAAAACACAGCAGTATCAAACATGTTTGGAATGAAACCAAGGTAGAATTTAAAGCTTAAAGTTGATGAAAGTAGTACTTGTTCCCGCCATTCCATTTTTCTCTAACTTTTATTTAAAATTTAACTTCTTGCAGTTGCTGGGGAACCTAAAAATTCTCAATCTTAGTCATTCCAAGTACTTGAAAAGCACTCCCGACTTTTCCAAATCACCAAATCTAGAAAAGCTTATCATGAAGGATTGTCCAAAATTGTCTGCGGTACACCAATCCATTGGAGATCTCAATAACCTTCTTCTGATAAATTTGAAGGACTGTACAAATCTTAGCGATCTCCCAAGAAAGATCTATCAGTTGAAATCTTTGAAAACTCTCATCCTTTCTGGTTGTTCAAAGATTGACAAGTTGGAAGAAGACATAGTGCAGATGGAATCTTTGACAACACTTATCGCAAAAGATACAGCTATAAAAGAGGTTCCCTATTCAATAGTAAGATCGAAAAGTATAGGATATATATCCCTATGTGGATATGAAGGATTAACACGTGATGTTTTTCCTTCTCTCATTTGGTCTTGGATGTCTCCGACAATAAATTCTCTACCGCGAATTTCCCCATTTGGTAACATGGCTTTGTCTCTAACTTCCATCAATGTACAAAACAATAACTTGGGCTTTCTATCACCAATGGTTAGCAGCTTTCCACAACTCAGAACTGTTTGGGTACAATGCCACTCAAAGATTCAGCTAACTCAAGAATTACAAAGAATTCTTGATGATCAATATAGCCGTACCGAGTTGGAAGCATCACAAGTCTCAAATATTTCCTTGAGATCGCTTTTGATTGGAATTGGAAGGTTCCATGCAGCCATTGATACTCTTGGCAAGAGCATATCACAGGTTGGTTACGTCTCTATCTTCTTGGCTGCCCCGTTTCAACTAACTTCATAGTTTGAATAGCATAGTTACGTAAATAAGTAAATAATCAAGCATATGTTTATGATACAGGGATTGACAACCAATGATTCAAGCGATTTCTCCCTTCCTGGTTGCAATTATCCCTCTTGGCTAGCCTATACAGGTGAAGGACATTCAGCACAATTTCAAGTTCCTAAGGATATTGATTGTGACATGAAAGGAATGGTTTTATGTGTCGTTTATTCATCAACATCTGAAAACATGGGAGCTGAATGTCTTACTAGTATCTTGATCGTTAATTACACAAAATGCACCGTACAGATATACAAGCGTGAGACAGTAATGTCTTTTAACGACGAAGATTGGAAGAATGTAACATCAAATCTAGGACCTGGTGACGATGTAGAGATCTTTGTAACTTTTGGCCAGGGATTAATTGTTAAGAAGACAGCTGTCTATATAATATATGGCCTATCAATAACTAGAGAATATGAGCAGTCAATTATTGTGGAAGTTGATTCATCAACTAACATGGAAATGGAAACATCAGAGGAAGAGAACTTGCCTCCATCACTTAATGTGAAAGCGGAGACATCAGCTGATGTTAAATCGGATTCGTCACCTGAAGTGAAGGTTAAGTCGTCATCATCTATCATGAAAATAAAGTCCAATAAGAGTAGTATATTTGCAAGACTTGCAAAAAGAATGAGTGTCTGTCTATGCTTGAACCAGCATAGAGATAAAGGTTTGAACAATTTGTTATAGGACATGTCTGTCATTAATAAGACTCATTGTTTCGTGTTTGCACTATCATAAGTATAAGAGGAATTCGTGTGCTTCCTATTTGTTTCATTGCATTCATTTTGTGTCTTTTTTATTTCTTTTACATGTCATTGGTTGCATGTTGCTTTCATTTAATAGTTTAGTTAATAAATTACCTCCATCTTTAAATGATAAGACCATAAATTTTATTGTAGGTAATCGACTCATACCTCTTTGATCTCCTGTAGTTTCTTTCTTATCCTAGACAAAATGATTTTGTATGTCGTATCTTCCTCTACCCATCTAGTGAAGTAATGGACAACCCTTATAAAGAAATTCATATGTCCAGTTGCCATGGGTAGTGAGCCCAAAATATCCGACATTCGCTGACAAAGCGTCCACGGTGCACTTAACATGTCATGTATTAGACAATGACAAACTATGTTTGGGTTGGTGCCGCTGATCCCGTCTTCCTCATTCGAGGACCGATTAGTGCCAACTCGAGTTGTCTGAGGTGTTTGGATGCCAATATGTACCCTCTTTATATATCCAATGGTCGTCATCCTATCCTATCGTAGATCCTCTATTGGACCGATATCAACTAAGTTCACTTTTAAATGATCATCTTTTATTGGTTCGTCGACATGACTTTTCCTTTTAAGTCTTAGACTGTCTTTATAACATTTCCTTGCTATCCCCCCGATCACCCTTTATTATTTCTACTCGGCCATCTTCAAGAGGGTATTTCAATGTGAGGTATATAGTGGATAACGCTGCCTCAAAAGCATTGAATGAGTACCTGCTAATATAGTGGATGCAACATTAACAATTAAATACCTCAACTTGATACTTTTTGCATTGTCACCATTGCCAAAAATTGACATCATGGGTAAATGCCCTAGCACATGTAGATGCTTTCTAGAGAATCCAACCAAAATACCTTTTAATGGTAGCAGATCGACGGTATCGAAATTCATCCTCATGAATGCATCCCAGTATAAAACATTCGTTGAACTTCTTGGATTTCCTAAGACTCGCTTCACGCTCCAGTCCTGGATCTACACTTTGATTACCATTGGGTCGTTTTATGAGCCAACACTCATTTTGCGGGTCTTTTGGAGAATTTGACTATGACCGAGTTCCCCCCTGAAGACGACTTCTGTCTGACGTGCATCACTTACTAAGCATATCTTTTTCTATCCAAAGTGTTTTCTCCTCTTGCGAATCCCCCTGCAATGGTATTTAGCGTATGATAGGTCATCTGGGCTTCACGAACTTCTTTTGTATTCTTTCCCTTCTTCTGCGTAGGATTTTCCGAGCCGATGTCTTCTCGGGGAGGACTTCTCTTTCGTGGATGTCCTTCCACGTCTTTAACATATAACAACAACCAACCTCTATGAATTAAAATCTTAATTTCTTTATTTAACTAATGACAATTTTCTATGTGGTGTCCGCGAAGTCTTTTCCCATCACACCATGCACCCCTTTTGCATGTCCCAGTATGGGAAGTAATTTGAGGTGATAAACTTTTCTCAAAATATCCTCTCGTTTGGAATTTAGTGGCATGTACTCAAGCTCTTTTACAAACAGACATCGAGATGGTCTCATCATTGACCGCTATCTAGATCTAGGGTATTCCTTCTTGTGCCGAGATCATTATTCTTTAGCTCACATTTTATCTTTGGCATCTCGAGATCTTTTTTACATGTTACTTTCCTCTCCTTTGATGTAACATTTTGCTCTCATCCATGTTGAAATTCGGCTTTTGCGCTAAGGATTCATTGAACTTCTCAACTTTGAGGCCGTGCTAAAATGCTCCAACGAACATTTCCTAATTCGTACGAGATACTTTAATTATTTCTTCTTTAAACCTTTTCAAATATTCCAAGAGAGATTCTGAGTACCCTTGTCGGACGTTAAATACATTGGTAGTCGAAACGTTCATATGCTTCCTTGTTGAAAAATGTTGTACCATCTTTTTAGTTAGGTCCTGATAGCTAACGACCGAGTATCTGGGTAAGCTCATGTACCATTGCAGAGCCCCTTCCTTAAAAGTCCCAGTCATGAGTTTACCCTTAAGGGAGTCAAAAGCCCCTATTATTTCCATCTGATTATTGATGGCAATGATATGCTCCCGTGGTTTGGTTTTACTATCAAAAGAAACTAGCATTGGTGGTTTGAAGTTCTCTAGGACTTGATCATTCCAGATAGCCTCAGACAAAGATTGGGAATCTATAGGCTCCTTCTATGCGTCCCTCTCTTGTAGGCTTTAATTTTGGAAAACCTGAACACTATCTTGCAAGGTTTCATTTTGTTGACGAATAACCTCCACCACTGCGAGCAATTGGGTTATATCTAGTGGTGGAGATGGATCACTTCGGCTAGGAGATGATCCGGACATCGCGAAGTTGGGCTACTAGTGATTTTGATGATGGTTTTGTGCGGCTTGTCAAGTTTTACCGAGGCCCTACGGCGGGCACTAAATATTCTTGCTAAAAACACCAAAAAGTCGAATTCCTTGTTATTAGTCAAGGAGAGCCTAAAATGAATGGTTAGAGTCTCTGTTATATGTTTCTTCTTTGATTTTTTCATGTCTCACCTCCCAATGATCTCTTACTTATATGGTTCGACCTTCTCATCCTCCCCCTGTTTACTCTTTAATATCTCTCATAAATATATCTTTTGGTAACATCCGCCACCCCAATAATTACAATGTAACGTCTCTAACATCAATAGTTATAATTTTTATGTCATCATATCACATTTTGTAACTTCCTCTTAAGACTCTTCATATGGTATCCCCAACATTGACATCAGACCCAACTTGTATGCATGAGATCGCCTCCCGCTAATATAAGGTCAACCTCGACATGTTTATTTTAGCGCTCTTAACCGAACTCCGACTTATCTGTGTGATCATGACCATCCAACCTGTTTGCTTTGTCATGCTCGACCTTCCCACTAACTCGACCTCAAGGAGTCTCTAGGAAACACAATAGACTTCTTCTGATCTCATACCTATTAAACTAATTTTCCGGATGTATATAATCTATTACAATAGTTATACTGCAGGAGTGACATTGGTCCCACACTTTGCATTTGCTTTCCTTTTGATGGCGATCTTTTTAGCTTTAAATTTTGAAAAAATTTACAAGAACGTTTTTGGATCTGAATGGCTTGCTCTCTCTCGACATGAATCTCCTTCAACTATTCCTTGAGCAACACAACTTTTTCATAACAATCTCACATTAGCATTGACTTTCTGCAGAGCTACCCTAAACCTGATTTCCCTTCTAAGACCGAGCACAAATTGGTCCATCTTATGTCCTTCATCTGGTGCATAAAGGACTCTCTTGGAGTAAACAATCATGCTCTCTAACTTTAACGCATACTCCTCCACTGCCATAGACCCTCTACGGAGTTGTTGAATCTCAATACCTCTCAAGCCTTTAAACCATTAGGAAGGTACTTTCATTCCTTCGAAGTACTCTGAATGGTCATACGAGCTGAGACACCGATACATGACCTCGCTGCTGAACTTCATAGTGTAGGGGTGTTCAAAAACCAAATTGGCCCAATAGGTAGGGTTTTTAAAAATCGAATCGACCAAATAGAAAACAGCTAACCGAACCGAACTGAAATTGCAAAAAATTGAATTTGATCTGAATGTATTTAAGCCATTTTTTAACAGAATCACACAATTCGGTTTAGTTGCAGTTTGTATTTTGCAAATCGAATCGAACTAAACTAAACCACATTATAGTATATTCCAAACTTCACTTAAACCACATCCAACCCAAACCCATTTAGCCTTAACCTTGTGATTACGAATGATTTTCTCTTCCTTTCAATTAGATTTTCAATTTTAGCATTCTCTAATCTCTCATAGAAGTATCGCACATTCTTCTTATCTTTTTTGCAAGGTTCTCACATTTTCTTCTCTAATCTCTTTCTCTATTGTTCTTCCTTTTTTTCATTTTCCATTTTTATAATATTGTTCTCTGTTTCAATTTCGTTTTTATCACACGTCTTATTATCTAATCTCTCTTCTCTTATGTTTTTCCCTTTTCATTTTCTTCAAGTCTTTCATGTCCTTAGACTAACTCCAATGGGAGTTCTTAGAGTGAGTTTGCCAACATGACACTCATATTTGTTGTTTTCAAGATGGAAAAGTTCTTAGACCATCTCCAACGGTGGTTCTTCAAATTGGTTTGCCAACTTGGCATTGAAATTGTCAACAAAAAGTTGTTCCAGGTGGTGAACGTTCCTTGCATAAGCAATGGTTCTTCATTTTTTTTTTATTATTAAAATAATTATTTAACTTGTTGGTTTTATTTATTTTTTTTATAACTTTTTTTATTTATTATAAATATAAGTTTGTTGCAAAAATTTATAACAATCCTATTTTCTCTCACTTTTATTTACTCTTTAATTTTAAATTTCTCTCTCACAATTTCATCATTTTATTCATAAATTATTATTTTCAATTTTATGTTTAATTTTAATTTTATGTTTAGTTTATATTTATAGTAATTAAAATTTAAATATTTAAATTATAATTTTAAATAAAATAAATTTAATATAAATAATATATTTAAGTAAAGTAGTGAGACCCAATATGGGTTCTTTGAAGTTGCACAATTGGAGTGAAAATTGAATCCACAAAGAACCTAAAAATGGGTTGCACCATTGGAGGTGCTCTTAAATATGCAACGGTTCTTCAATGGTTCTTATATTAAAATATTAATTTTATAATATAAAAACTATAATTTGATATAAAATTTTATTTATTATTTTAATTATCATTTTAATTAAAATTTAAATATTTAAATAATAATTTTAAATAAAATAAATTTAATATAAATAATATTTTTTAAGTAAAGTGGCGGGACCCAATATGGATTCTTTAGAGTTGCACCATTGGAGTGAAAATTGAATGAGTTGCTTTAAAAGAGTGGGTCCCACAAAGAATCTAAAAATGGGTTGTACCATTGGAGATACTC